CACCTCTCACTATACCCCATGTCTCCTTCAGCTCGTTTTCTATCACTCTTGCCTTGCTCAGTCTACACTTCCTAATTATTGCTAATAAATTGTGTAAGCTTCTTAACCAGCGCTTTGCACTTCAGATTTATTTTATCCAGAAAGCTCTTTACTCAGATATCTTCACAACTTACTACACTTGCCTCTAACTCATCCGCCATTTGATTAAGGTTTTTACTTCCCACCCATTTAGGTACTTAAAGTTGCAAAATTCTTCTTGCTACCAACTTGCTCTTGACCCTTATATCTGCCCCCCACAATAATAACCCCTTTCCATCTTTATTTTTCTCTATAGCACCTACAACCATTAGACTTATAATATTATTGATCCCAAGATTCAGTTCATCTCACTAAAACATAAGCACCAAGAGGGTATTTGTACACGCACGATCTACAGTACACCAGCTATGAAAAAATATTCTTGACATTAATTTTGTGAGGTATTGCCCAACAACTTCCAGTGTGAGTTTTCTCTCATTATACCACTAACAATATGCAGTCAAAACATCTGACTTCTATCTATATCCACGCCAAATTTCTTTTCAAATATAAAACAATATAAAAACGGAGTTAAACAATTTTAAAAAACAAGACTAAATATATGTGAAGTTGCCTATATTCAATCTATCCATCAGTAGCCATCTCTCTTTATCTCCTTACCATAAGAACCCAAATATTTACCTTCTTCAAACATAGTTTCCCAAAAAAGTCTATTTTATGGGAAAGTTAAAGATATACAATATATACCCAGTGTATACTGAACCTATTAATAGGTTCCATACCCCATCTTTGCTCTACTTGGATTTCTTTAGTAAGCAGCGCATGATGGAGCTTCAAAAAGTTGGTGGAAAAACGAAATTAAAGCATAGTGGAATTTCTCACAAACGTTTTGAAGCTCCCTCATACTGCAAGCTTGAAAGCTTCGTTAGTGCTGGAATCACTCGATCCAAATCCCCAGAGTTAAAGTGATGATTAGAAACCGCCTAGGCAAGTTGTGGTAGAGAGCATCTCTTCTCCAGATCACCAAGATCTGAAGGAAATGAACTTAATTGTGCCTACTCTACTCTACACTCTCCTCTCTCCTCTCTCTACCCTACTCTACTGGAGCCCTGGTGGCTTAGTGGGTTATACGTTGGGCTGTTAACTGCAAGGTCAGCAGCTCAAAATCAAGTTGCTGATTGGGAGAAAGAACCAAGATGAAGCGTTCTCCCCCCTTACAGACTTCTAGTCTGGGAAAGTCACAGGGGGCAGTTCTGTCCTAGAGGGTCACGATGAGTTGGAATTGCCTGTATGGCAGTGAGGGGTTTTGTTTTTTGGTTTGGTTCAGTTTTAATTGGCATTGTACCCTACTCTAACCTTGAGTTTAAACACTTTGCAATAACACATGCATATGTAGCTGTTACTGATCATAGTAACTTTCCAGACTAGTCTATTATTTTGAGTAGCCCTGGTGGCACAATTAGCAAAGCAATAGGCTGCTAACCAAAAGGTCGCCAGGCCGGTTTGAACTCACCAGTTGTTCCCAGGGACAAGAGACAGGGCAATACGCACCAGTCAGGATTACAGCCTAAGTAATCCCACGGACAGTTCTACTCTGTTGTACATGGAATAGTGATTCCTCGAGTTAGAACAGACTTGAGGGCATGCAACAGTATCATTTTAACATTTACATGTCTTTATTTTAATGGAAAACTCAACGGTTATTCCAATGTTTTCACTAGGTCCATTGTAATTCATACTTGTTAATATCAAGTTACGAATACACTTTGAGTGCATTTACACATTCAATGCTGGACAGTGTAAAAGAACTGTCTTCTTGAAAGAAATTGCTTTAAAATTGATTGTGGTAGCAACTGTACACTACTGCTTGATGCAGTCGAACTATGGGATGTTCTATCTGTAAGAGTTCCCAATAAAATAATTTTTAAAATAAAAGAATTGTCTTCTTCTGGAACTACAATGAAGGGGGAATAGCAGTCTACATCCAAAGAGGCAATATCTTACTCACAAATCTAAGCCATACAATGAAAACATGGCAGATTCACTGGTTCTACTTTAAGTATTAAGGCACACTTTTTGCAAAATAGCACTGCTGAATCATACTTGCAAGGAGGCGCATAACTCCCAAGGAGGTACGGCCAAAAAGGTGACATTGAACTTCAGATGATCTGTCCTCACATGATCAAAACATCTAGAATTGGAAAGTCTCTTAATCACACTTCTCCAATTATTTAGGCAAAGCACTGAAAAAAAATCTTTCAATGGTATGAAAAGAATATTAGATTACAGGTGCATACTTTTTGATATTTTTCTACTGGAAGTTTTATTAAAAGGCTCTTGGGGAGTCTGGTGAGCCATCGATGTGATAAGAAAGCAATTAAAGACCCAATAACACAAGACTAAATGCAAACGATTCCTAACTATCATTATGCTTTTAAGAAAACATTCAATAACAAATCTGGAGTTTGCATTTGACATTGCTTTCATGCCTTATAGAGATTTAAATGAAATATATGAGTACGAGACTGGGTGTTAGTCATTGTGGTCATTATGTAAAACAGGCTGAGGAGGAGGAGGTTGATGAGTAACCTTGTAATTCCTTTCATACATCTGAATTTTTGTAGGATGTAATCGCCACCATTTCCCTCACTTTCAAAGGGAAGATGAATGGGTTACATTAATGTTAAGAATAAGGGAATCTATAAGAGATAAGTGGGAATATATAACTTCCATAAGAAATAGGGAGAGACTGTGACAACAGCAAAACGTTGGCAGTCCAAGGCTTCTCCCACCAGGAGCTTATGTTGAGTCCGCACACCTGTTTATTAACTTACTCATACCACTGCAGAAGACTGCCCTCTGTACACCATTTAATCCAGGAGTCCTCAAACTTGTTTAACAGGGGGCCAGTTCACTGTCCCTCGGACCTGTTGGAGGGCCGGACTATAGTTTAAAAAAAACTATGAACAAATTCCTATGCACACTGCACATATCTTATCTTGAAGTAAAAAAACAAACAGGGCAAAAACACCCAGCGGGCCGGATAAATGTCCTCGGCGGGTTGCATGTGGCCCGCGAGCCGCAGTTTGAGGACGCCTGATTTAATTTATATCAGAAGAACGCCACTGTTTAGAAGAGCAAGTTTAAGAGTAATCACTGCATTACTCTTAAATTACTACAGAAATGATTAATGAATCACATTCTAAGCTAAAAATCTTCCAGTCTCTCCTCCACCACAAAAGCCTATCAGCAGGGAGAAGCAGTTTTATGAGAAACGGCTCAAACCATGTTCCTGGTTTCTTAATCCAGCTCAGGTGTTCTCGTTTCACATACTCCCTTTGCACTGTTATTAACAGGGAAAGGAACATCCTTAATGCATACAGAGCACTAGAGCTGTTCTCATCCAGTGATCACATTTGATCTCACCATCGTATCATATATACAAGTGGTACGTGCATAACAGAAACCCAGATGAAGAAGGGGAAAATAGGTGCCCCTCTCCAGCTAATGACGTTTGCATATTAGTAACTGAGGAGGAACTGATCATACAATTCTGTAGATTTCCCTGAGACTGTAGTACAATGTGCATAGAAAGTCTCTGGCAAGAGTAACAGCAATACCTCTCAATATACTGCTTAGCCTTCCTTTTTCATATAACATCTCTCTACACTTTACGAAGTACGAAGTGATCTGAATCAAACTAGCTCAGATGGGGACAGCTCACCTTTATCTAGAGAAAGAACCACTGCTACTACACAAACATTTCCTCCTAAGACTTGAACTTGGAGTGTTATCATAGGCTAAATTCCATCGCTGTAGCTTCTCCACTCTACAATCCAAGAACTTCAATCCCTGCCAGCGGTGAAACACAATCTACGTGCAAGTGAACATTACTTGCAGGTACAGTGATTCCTTATCCTATGCTGTAGCCAGTACCCAGGGGGCCCTTATCGCCAAAGCCAACACCTCCCCGAAACCTCCATTAAGGAAATATATCATCACTGACAGGCCACTAAAAACCCAAAGAGATCCGGGCTTGCTGCTAGCAGTGTAGGATAAGGCCACTCCTAACCCAAGACAAAAAGGCTACCTGTCCAACCCAAAGCTCATGGGCCCTGTCCAGGCAACAACCATCCTTGCCCTTAACCTCACTCCGCACAGGCTCAGTTCGGCGGATCGCCAGGAGCAGAGCCCCCCAACCCTCCACCCCAGGCGGGGCCACGACGATCGGCCACCTTTCTGGAGCTCACCATCCTCGTGTGGGCCTGGGAAACATCTGTGCTGTGTCCCCACACCTGGCAAGCCCCGCCTGGCGACAACATCACGTTCTCGGCCACCTAACAACACTTCAGCACCGGGCCAGCCCTGAACCTGAGCGGAAGCCGGCCAGGGCCGCGCCCGCCCCGAGGCTAGCGCGGGGCTTCTCCCCCGCACTCGGGCCCACCCCCCACGCCCC